ACAAGAAATTTTACGATATTTCTGAAATCTTACAAACCTTTTATATGACTCGGACGCACGATTACATTCGATAGGAACAAGAAGCAATAATGACTTTGGAGATTAAAGTTTGCTGGTCGATTCACCACGTAGAATTGAACTTTCAGATTTCTCAGGTTAACGTTCATGCTGATCCTGCGGTCTCGGAAACGGTTTACGAGCGGCGCGTTTCTCATAGTTAGTTTTTTACGATGTGCACTTCGACCCCGAGAAATTTTTCGTGGTACGGGTTAAGGAACACGTTTTACGAGGATCTAACAAAGTCGGCGGCGGCGGCGTCCTGCCTTCGTTAGAGTCGAAACTGACGCGGCACCGAAGCTTAACGAGCATTTTCGTACGATCAAAGAGCCTACCATCATAAAACTCGTATAATTATCTTTGTTGGCCGGGCAGATCGATGCTTGCTAATTATTACTTTTTTATGATCTAACGGTAGTTGCGAGCCGGATACAACAGGTGATACGATGACTGACGTTCGGATATCAAAGAATAAAGAGAGAATATATAAGGATTAACTCAAGCATACACAAGTATTAACGCAGCAACATAAAATGCTTCGTTTTTATAGCATACAGCAATGATTATTAATAACATATATGTATATATATAAATCTACATAATATTTTTTTATATATACATATTGCATATATTTTTATGGTTTATTTAATATGCATCATCTATAGCATCTTTTCAGTTTTATAATGCAAATAGCCTGGATGAATAATGGAAATATTTATAATGCTTGTTTTTTATTAAACAAGAATTAAATTCAACTTAATAGAATTATTCCATTTTAACATCGCAGTAAATAATAGCGCGGTTTTAAAAGATATATTTTGAAAATATTTAGTTAAAAGTATTTGCCATGCGCTTTATTACATATATATGTGTTGTATTTAACACACAATTACAAGAAGAGTTTTTATGCTACTTAAGATAACGATGTCAGGCGCAGTAAATGTTTTAAGTTGTTTTTATGACAGTGTATGTTTGATTGTAAAACACATTTTTATTTTGTTATTATTCAAGTCAATTATTGCTTTGATAACTTTTCTTATTAACATGTTATGGTAAACATTTATTATTAATGTTTAATTTGTCCGTCATATATTTTAACTTAATAGAGATGGACTGGAATTACTTTCATTGATCACGTACGCACTTTGTGCAAATGCAACTGCTGTCTCGTATCTTATCGTAAGTTTGTTATCAGACACTACTGATCGCATTTCCTAGCTTCTACGGTTTCACACGTGTGTGTACACATTTAATCGTTAATCAATGTAGGTACAAGACTTGATATGAATTGCTTATCTTAAGAAAAATCTGCAATGCTATTCTATATGGCGTATTACCTGCTTATCATATATTAAGTATGTATTTATATATTTTATGAAATGTATATATTTATATACTTTATATTATATTATTTGATTTTTATTGTTACACATATTTATTTGCATAAAAAACAAAACATTTTCGACGAATCTGAGAGATTTGCGTGCAAAGTAATGAAGCAGATTTTTAACTTGTGCACAATTAATTACAGTTAATATTTCTTGAGTTTAATTATGCTTTTCAGTAATTCAATTTTGCGATATATCGAAAATATTTATATTTTTTCTTATGATAACAAATAGTGGATATTAAATAATATGCATACTATTCAATTATGTTAGTATCTTTATAGCGCCGATAGTGCTCTAATAAGGCTATATTTTTGTAGTTTGTGCTACTTTTATTGCGCTTTAAGGATACTTTTACTGCACGAGTCAAGGCAACATTTTCTTACGATAAAAACGCAGACCCAGTTTCAAATAAAGTTCTCAGACATTTTATTGATTTTCCAAGGATATCTCTCAGCAAATGATTGATTACGCCTAGACCGGTTTCAATGTAGAACACATTTTTTTGGTACTATAATATTTATGGAAATTGTTGTCGATGGAAATTACATGATAACGGCTGTATTTAAATATCAATTTATTCCATCATTTTATTTTTGGATATCATGTTTGCTCTTAGCATACATCTTGCGATATCTTTTGGATATTTTGCATGCATGTTTCTCCATTTTTTAATATTTTTATACTGAAGTGAAAAATACGTTATTTACATTTTGATAAATTTTAATACGTAAATACTATTGCACATTTGTTACATACATTATTTACGATGTTGTATTATGTATAATATAATGGAAGTTACACATAGAGATAGTAAAATTATGATATGGTTTTTCGAAAAATGAAGGCATTCAATAATTATAGAATTATATGCAATTAAATTAAAAAAAGATAAGAAAATGTCCTTTATTTGTAATTATTTTATTTTGGAAATAAGTAAATTAACATACATATTGTGTAACTCTATAATTAAAATAGTAGGGTTACGAAAAGATGTTAAAAAAAAAAAAAATAAATAAATAAATAAAGTAGCAAGATAGAATTAACGGCTGTGTGTGTCTTTAAATACTGACAGCAATATAAAATTATCTATAGCCGCTAATATTTCATGCACAGATCGTTTATTCGAATGAGACAGGTCAACCAGAGAGTACGTGCAACTATTCATAACAATCGTCATCATCGCGCTGCGTAATCATTCTGTCTTCTCGCGTTGCGAACATTAGAGACACGTCCAAATATTATCAGACTGATTTCATCGACCCAACGTTCTGCTCCTTCATTTCTCTTCCGCGAAAGAATTCGTTTAACGTTCGGATAAAAAATGAATATAAACACCGTGACGAGATACGCTGACAGTCATTCATTCTTTAGCATTCGTATCGCGCCGTTCATGAAACCGAAACGATATATCGTTTGTATATTTCCTTTCGTATTACGTAATCGATCCCGTCGCCGATAATACGAGCACAGTCATGTCGATTGTTGAGAATCGCGTAGCAACGAAGGCGGATTTAGATCTGTGATAATGCGCACAACATTATTCTTTCGACGACGTATAACTGATATGAGGGGGGGGGGGTTGATATATGAGAATTATGTTCGTATAATACAAAATATATAACGACATGTATAAGCTGCTTAATTATATGATTATGCAATGTGATAGCGCTATACATTAATCTTTTGTTCATCTTTGGAGTGAAAAAATCGATATACATAAACTATGATGTGTGGTCAAGTCATGTCTACGTTATATATTTTTATCTGTTCATCAAGCATGAAAATACAACGTTAATTTGTTTAATCACTTAATTAGGGTACGGATTTCATCGATAGAACGAGATATTAAATAAAGAGGCTGGATAATCATATATGTGTCATTCACGCGTCCGCTTCAAGAGTCAAGGGTTGATTAAGCTAATGGGTCAAGCTGCTATATTCGTGAATCATGTTGTGACGTTTTTCTTTTCGCGCATCATAATTTGTTCCTCGTAAAACATCATTCAGTAATATTAATGTTAGATAATAGATGATCGGAAAATGAGAACGAGAAAGATCTTAGAATGCCAATGCGTCAAAGCCATGACTCGTGCGATGCGTGTATGATGACCATTGATGAAATATATCGGCGGATGGGAACAAAGTCGAGAAGCGCATACCCTCCAAGCTCATCTCTATCTTCTCTTCTTCCTCTCCGAAACCCTTACTCGTCCCGGCTCCTCCCATCGCTCTCTATTCTTTCTCTCTCGCTCTCGTCGCGTACACGTGCTGTAGCGCACACGCGCGCACAGCAGCACGTGGTTGGCCGAGTTCACCTGCGTGCGTAAAAGAAGGGAACCAACACCAAGCGTTCCGGCGGCGCGGCACCTGCATGCTGTTGTCTATTCTGTCGGGTCGCCGCGCAGGTCGGATTCGGCAAACAGGAGAGAGAAAGAGAGGAAGGGAGCTATCGGAGTGGGGTAGAGATGGTGTGAAAGCGTGGAAGAGGAAGGGTGAAAGCAAGGGAGGTAAGAGGGGACCATTTCCTTATTTTAAAAACGATTCAGAGAAGTCTCTGGTAGAGGCGGAGCCATGGCGACTAGATACATTGCCATTGGTTGGCGTAATGTCTAATACATCATAATATAATGTAACAACGGCCGGAAAACTGATGTCCATGATTCTGCGATCGATTGAAGGTTCCGCGATATTTATTCTCTTCTCTGATAGTATCAATATTCAAGTATTTTGCGTTATCCGGATACATGATTATTTCGAATATTGTTCAGATATTATATGGGCATTGGTTCATTTTGATATAATTAAACAATCGAATATTGAGAAATTACATGGAATACTTTTTAGTTAAATTAGATCGAGTTTTTCGGCTAATCGGCGGCCTTCTAAGCATAACAGAGTCCCAATTCTTGAACATGTATGAACAACTTTTATATATGATTTCTATTTGAATGAACATTGTTTTCGCGAGAAACGCGAAAAATTCTTAGAGTTCTTATGATATAGTGTCATGGGTATCGTAATTATGATAACTAAATGAGATTACTCACATGAACATTTTATTACATAAATTCGAGGATGATTCGCTCTAGATTAAAAGCTACGAGGAAAATAAAGGATGAAAGTTTGATATTTTATATGTGTGTGTGTATATATTCGATATTTTTATCTACATGCTCGAAATATATTTGTTAAAAAAAAACTTTAATTTCTAATTGTTTATAAAGTAGTTTGTAGGTGCTTCTTGAAGTATCTGCAAAATTTCCGAAAAATGACTTCTCAGAAATGTTCTTTCTGATTGAGAATCAACAAACTTATTATAAGAAAAATCTCGCTATAATTCTCAACGCAAGTAGAAAGCGCTACAAATTGATTCTTGTTAAGAAGCAAAAACAAAAGTTGTCAAGTTTAAAGAATTAATATATTGCAGATAGTTCTATTTCCCAATGAGATTACTGATCGCTTACGATGAAATGTTTCACATCTTACATGTAGTTTTTGTTCAATTTAAATAATGTTCAATTTAGATAAGAATTTTTAATGGATAAATTTCAGATAACAATCTCAAGGATTTGCTGCACTATACGCTGTACAATTGCCTGGTATATGACTATGTACGCGCGAACCCCATATCGACCTTAGTGAAGGAAATCGGTGACATTATCTTCGAATATGATCGTAGCTCAAGCTCAAACGAAGAAAATAGCTTATACGAAGCTCAAAAGCGTCTATTTCCATGTAAGTATATTTTAAATATTGAATGTATTTCTATCGAGGTAAGTCTTTTTACAGAAAAGATAAAAAGGAGTATGTGCACAAATGCACATATCTCGACAATAACATAAAAATGTGTGTTTTAATATATGCTTTAGTATATATATGCTATTATAAAATTAATCAATTATAAATTTACAAACTCTTGATCTTAATTTTTGAATCAATATAGAGTTTAAAGACAAAATTTACATAATATTATATTTTTTAAAGAATGCTTTACTACACAAGAATAGATGAAAAATATTAAAGCAGAGAAAATAATTTCAAATATAAAAAAAAAAATATTAAAATTTGAATGAACTAGACTATATATTTATATAGTAAATACATATAATAGTAATTAAAACATTTTTTTCTTCATAGCTCCAATAATTCGTCATCTGAAAATTAGTCGGCGAACTATTGCGCTGAATGTAATTTCGTCATTCGTACATTTAACATATTCTCTATTTTCATTTATATATTATCTGTTTCCACCTTGAATCATATATAATCGTTAAATTTTCCAAATTTAACTCCGCGTTTTTCTACTTATTTTCAAAGTTCTTCATTGGCGTTTACATTACTTTTTGATAGCGCTGCTATTACAGTAATGAAATTATCACATTCTGATTTTGATCAAGTAATAACAATAAAATACTTGTGATTATATACATTGAAGTACAAGTATTAGTTATGCATTTCATAATGCAAATTTATGCATTCAAAAATACGAATTTAATGGGAACAAGCTCGGCAACGACTCGAAGATCTCGAATATATTTGCAGATATTAGAGTGATAAATTATATAGAAGTTTGTACATAAGAGAGAGAAAGAGTATATTAAACGAACACTTATTTTTCGAAAATCTTGTTATTCAAGAGATCGCATAGTTACATGGTTACCTGTCTTTCGTATTTTATATCATGGATTGTGAAGATTTCATATCGGGGCAATTTATAAAAAAATATTTTGTTTTTTTTGTAAATTGCCCCCATATGAAATCTTCAATCCATGATATGATATTTTTTTTTACATCAATATATTAAACTCGAAGCAGACTTTGCAGAAGAAACGTTACGATAAATTTCATTTATCTGATATTTCTAAAACGCTTGCGACTATCACTTTGACGATGAATCACGCATGTTTGTTTCTTTCTCTCAAAAGTCGTGTTAACTTCAATATAATTAAAACTCTGTTTTTATATGAGAGTATATGCTCTTCGAAATATCTGCATCCGGGAATTATCTGCAATCGTGTTCTGGCATAAACAGACGTCTCTCGATAAACATTGCAACATGATGAATATCTTTGCTGCAACACACGAAGATAATCTTTGAAAAATTATTGGTAAGAAAAGTCGTCGAAAAAGGTTGTGGTTTTCTCGTCTCGAAAGAAAAATTTCCGATATCATCTCTAGAAGATGTTACCTGTCCGTACATCTTGAAGATCATCTGAAAACCTGTTTGGTATCGCGGCGGTGTGTTTAAAATATGCTTCGTACAGCTTGCAAATCTTATGTGCACGCCCGACATTTATAATTCCGCTGCGTTCTATCGGAGTGATATGCCTTACAGAAAGTTTCTCTGGTCTGCTGTTGCACACGTGATTGTGTGTATGTATATGTGCGCGAAGCGTGATACGATAACGCGTGGCTGACAATTATCTACGCCTGAAGATGGTCTTTCTTGCACCAGCAATCGTGTTTGGAATAATAATGTTGCTTGCAAATAAACGACGATTTCGTATGATTCGACCATTGAAATTGGATAATATTGTGCTCTCTTGCAGAATAATCGAAGACTATACAGATGAATAATGTTTGCACACGCCCAACTTATTTTATTTATGCCCCCTATTACTTTGATAATAGAATGATCTAAAAAAAATCGCTCCGACGAAGTTAAAAATAATTTAGTTTGAAAGATTTTTACGGTTGTTAGTAATGCATTCTATGTGCAATTTAGAACAGTCCTTTCGCTGACATACAAAAGAACGTGTTACCATTGTTTAAAAATATGCACTACTGCTATTAGTATCGCTTAAAATACTCTGTAATAAATACGCGCGTCGTCATGTCAAATAGAGAAATTGTTGCCTAAAATTTCTACGATTATAATGTTAATCGTTACATATTTGTTTTGACTTTACGTGTTAAATTCTTCTATTGGAAAATAGCCAACATAACTGAAAATGTAATTCTCTCGTTACTATGTTCAATTTTCAATTCACATAAGCATTCAAGCTAATTTGCGTATTCTAAAAGGATATGATATATGGATAAATGGATATTTAAATAATGTTTCTTATGAACAAAAGAAGACTAATCTCGATGTTTATTAATTCACTTTAATATTATGAATTTTCGCGACTCAAGTTTGCGAGAAAATAAAGACACTGAGATTAATCGATAAATAAAATACGCGCTGTAGATTCGGTTGTCTCATCCTGAAGCGAATAAGAAGCGGCTCAAGGCATCGAAGAAAGGTATGATGTTCTTGCTAACCATAACCGTGGATAATCTGCACTCGGACAAAATTCTTCTCTTCTTTCATCGTAAATCGCTTCGGTTCCGGATCACTGATTATTCGCCCAGAACCGTTGCGAGATACTTTTATTTGATCATCGATGGTTTGCGGCGGTACTAAATTTATAATATCATTATTATGCTCTGTATCTCGTACTGAGTAATGAAGTTGTTGACGATTAGTATCAACGCAATCAAGCACGTGATGTGCATATCTAATGAACCTCGTGACGCAGCTTCATACAGATGTCACTTTGTATTTTCGCGTGAGGCCAAAGACGCTAGTTTTAATTTATATATCTTTCCAATAGCATAATATCTTTTATATAATTTAAATTTATATTAGAAATAGATAGAGAATCTTCGAAATTAAATTTTGTAATATGTGTTTCATTACACGAGACGTCTTAAAAAAAATGACCGCATTGTTTTTCAAGAAATCATGGAATTTTGTTTTATTAATTTACATTCATTTTTTTCATAAACAAATTATTGAAATTATCGAAGGAAAATTATTGAAATCGCTTGTATGTTCTGTAATTTTTAACATTGCATATCTTGGCAATTGAAACTTTCACCATCAGTATATCACAGATAATCATGAATTATGTAAACGCCTGAATACTGTGTGGTGAAAGTGTTAAGTATTATATTAAAAATCTCTTAAGAAGAATTCATTTAAAATGGGATAGAAATAAATTTATTCTATTATATTTGCGCGTTTTTGAAGTTTAGTTAATTTAAAATTATTTACTTTTTTTTCGCGCGCGCTGCTACTTCAAACTGAACGAGATTCTTCTTTCAAGCATTAATTTTTAACAAACTATCTTTCTTATTTTAAGATACAGTAATACTTAAACTTTCTAATACAAAACGCAGGCAAAACTACACATTTTTAACAATATATGCACGTGCGTACAAATATTTCAGACTGAATGAAGAGCTTTTTTATATTATTATTAACAATTATTATTTTTAATAAACTGTTTCGATAAAAATACGATTGTATTTTACACGGCATAACAATGGAGAAGAATGCGTGCATTCCTTAAAACTAAATTTATAAGGGAGAGACAGTTAAGCAGCTCAGGAAAAAAGAAAAATTTTTTAAGTAGTCAGTCTGGCTATGCGAGAATCTGATATTTAAGCGGATATTATTCGTCAAAAGAGTTAATGTTTTAGGACATACAAATTAATGATACATTCCATTGCAAATGCGAAGGAAATCGTTAATACCAATGTATTGACCTTATATTTATATTACTACTATATCACACAATTATTCTCTCGTACTCGATTACAGATTGTTATATTATTGCAGTTATAATCTAATGAGATTTATAATCAAATTATCAAATTTGTTACGTTTCTAAACAGATATTAATAAGCCATCGTGTAATATGTCGCTGCCGTTATATCATTTGAAATAAATTGAATCGTAAAAAATCGATGCAATCTTGTTTGTCCAGTCGAATAGTTAAATTTAAATCGATGCAGAAAGCGACATTCCAAAGACTCGTATGAGCAAGTGGACGATTAATGGGCTTACATCGCACTGAGAGTAATAGTTACACCGTTACTAACGTTATATGTATATCACGGCATATATAAGACATAAATTTACGCGTGAGGCTATTAAACATAAAAACAATATGGGAAAAAATGACATCATCGTGTACGTAATAACGTCATCATTAACATACATAATATTTGAATCGTCTATTAAAAAACAAAAAAACTTAACAAAATTTTTAATTATTCAGGACATATTTAACTGAATGTAAGTCTTAATTTAATTTCGAAACATTTTAAACATACGTGTGTGTATGATCTATTTATTTATGAACTTTACGAGAATACATTTGACGAATATTTAGGATATTTATAGTGATTGCATTATTAGAACTCTGAAAATTGATACAACATGTTTATTGATTGTTTGTGTTTGATAAACAGTTTGACAAGCATAAAAACCGCAGAAGACACTTAGCTAAATAGCGAATGTCCACATCTCCGCGTGTTTGCGTCGGAGATTAATAACGCTCTTTAAGAGGTAAGAAGATTTCGCAATTGCGGCAAAGGCAGCAATACCAGTCTAGCGTAAATAATCAGCTATATTAATGTGCATTAATTGCATCCATTAATAGCCATACATACATGGTTGATACAGAGGGTGTTACAACGATCTCTCTTAATTATGATCGGACAGCACATTGTGCGTTTTTAAGATAATTTTTCAAAATTTCGCCAGGGACTAATTGAACGAGCAATTACCCAGTAAACTCGATTTGTTTTTACGAAAAAATTCGACATTTCCTTTTTGACGCGCGATATAATTTTTCTCTCGTACTGCGACGCAATTAGTACAATTGTATAGCTAGTTAATTATATAAATAATTAGTTTGCCCCCGCAAGATAGTTATCGATGCGTTGCTGTGGTCGCGCGCGGCTACACCGCATGAAAGAAATGATGGCACAGTCGCGATACGTCAGTATGAATAGTCGGTGTGCGTAGTGCGTATTTGCCGCACGCGTGTGTCGTGCACGCAAGCGAGTAACGGTCGTCTCGTATTTCGCCGCGAAAGCACATTTTCAGGCATTTCTAGGCGGATACTTTTGGCATGCAGTAAGCGGATACTTAGCGCGAAAATTCATGACGGTCCAACTTGACATAATATAACCGAGAGATGCAAAACGCACACTAGCATGATGCAAAAATACATCACGTTGCTGTTTGCCGTGTCCACTGCTACTTTCTCTTTCGTTTTCCTTTTTTCCTCAACAGTTGCATCTGTCGTGACGTATTTTCTAAAACATTGCATAACATTCATGTTTTATTATTTTTATGACAGAATAGTTTTGCGAGAAAAAAATCAAAATTCTTAAAAATTTTATAAAACGAGAGGAGTTAGAAAATAGTTGGATATAATAATTGAGAAAAATTATGAGAAGCTCATATGTGGGGGGAATATTTTGCCGTAATAAATAGAAGTAATATTTTAATAAATAGAGATAATATTTTTAAAAGATTTTTTAAATTTTCTTTGATTATTTAATAAATAATGTAAATAAATGTTGTAAACGCGTATTTATGATATCAATATTCATGCATTAGTTTTTGATTTTTTTTTTGCTCGAGTTCAATTTTCAAAGTTTTATCGTAGCTGAAGAATTAATAAAATTTGTTCTTTTAAAAATTTTATTGAAAACATGACATCTCACAGTAGATAGTATCATTAACGTGTTATTATCGCGAATCGCTGGTATAACACGTGACTCATTGTGTGTATTACACGTTGAATCTTCACCATTTACGATTTGCTAGAATAATTCAAAGACAATTGACCTTGTGCAAGTGTATTGATAATTATGCACTGCACATTGTTCATATACATCACTAAAGGTATACGCATATAAATGTATGTAACTGTGAGAAATTAAGTGGGGAATCTTCTGTAGTGTATAATTTAAGTGATTATTAAATTTTTAGAAATAATATCTAAAGATTAAAATTTTTGCAGTACAAATTCTCTGAATCGATATTTTATCGTATAATCATGATTTTACGATGCAACACATTATTGCCTAATGCATAATAAACGTTACGCTGATTAGGCAATTTTGATGCATAACAATCATGTTATAAAGTTTCCATGAATGAGTCAGAAATTATAATTGGATAGAGACTATCTAATCGAGCAAGTAAAAGACGATCTGAATACTCGAACATTAAAATACACGAAAATAACGAAAAGGCTGAAGAAAGCTCACAAATTTTATAAAATAAAATTTAATCTATTAATTACCAGATCAATGCGACGATCGAACCTTATTTAAAAATGATGAGTGATTAGACACGTGTAAGCCGCGCTGCATCCGAAATGCATTATCTTAGGGCCGGTGGATTTTTCATCAGTTGTCTGATAAAAAGTCATAAAAAGATTTCACTTCTTCGTAAACAGCAAGCAGGTGAGAGATTCGAGCGGTGGTGTGGCGCGACCTCGTTTGATCCAGTTTGCCTGAAAAACATGCGTGCAGCGATGCATTTAAGACTGACACCACCAGTTTCATTAACCGCCTTGTAACGTAGCGTGGATAATTTCTGAATATGACATTCATATCAGCTTTTAAGAAAGTACGAGCGGTATTAAAAGAGGATATGAAAATGCAAGAAGATGAAATAAATCGCAAAACTTAATTTACGTTTTATCACCGGATTTGGATTGTACGTAATTTGGCTTTTTATATTAATCACATAAAATGAAATATGAAGAAACGAGAAAGAATATTATTCAAGCTGCATCGATAAGTTTCATTAACCGCCTTGTAACGTAGCGTGGATAATTTCTGAATATGACATTCATATCAGCTTTTAAGAAAGTACGAGCGGTATTAAAAGAGGATATGAAAATGCAAGAAGATGAAATAAATCGCAAAACTTAATTTACGTTTTATCATCGGATTTGGATTGTATGTAATTTGGCTTTTTATATTAATCACACATAAAATGAAATATGAAGAAACGAGAAAGAATATTATTCAAGCTGCATCGATAATAAAAGACAAACAATTTTTATAATAAAAATTATTAGCTTTGTTATATTTTACAGTATTATAATTCGTGGTTAAACTGTTGAAAACATGAATCGATATCAACTAAATAGCGTTGTTTATCTATTATTGATATTTTGTAAAGAAAAAAAGAGCTTTTTCCTAGTCTGCTTTTTATCAACCTGCGTGCCTAGCAACTATGCAGCGTACGAGAAATACTCGACCTTGCGCAGGTATGGCAGTGCCTGTACCTTACATATACATGCGGTTGCACTAACCACATATATGTCGAGATGATTTGTACACGATACATGCGCTTTCCCTTGCGAAACGTTCATAACGAAACATTAATAAAATAGGAGAGTCTTATTATATTTTTAGACAAGTGTGACAATTATTGATTTGCGTGCATTGACGAATTGATGATAATATTCCGTACCTTAGAATCACTCACATTGACGCGATTGTTTAAGAGTCGATATATGAGTTTTGTTTCCGAATGATTGTATGTCTCTTTATACATGCGAAAAAAGCATGCATCGGCAAAAAATGCCACGTCATGCGGAATAATACACATGCCGAGCAATGCCGGCCAATTAAAACTTGGGTAATTAGACTCCCGCGATTTATTATCGAGCTTTCGTGTTACCGATTCTTGTGTGATTAAACGAATCCACACCATGAAATGGCTAAATTGAAGGATCCACTGATATTATATAGTGATTGCACTATAAGTAATAATTAAATTATAAAAAAATTATGTTCAGTTGCATATATTCACGAAAGACTATTTTTCACACATTATTATTAACTGATATGGAAAAACTTAATTTTTTCTTTTTTTTTGTTTCGCGTAAAAATTTAATAATTCTATTAATGTTTGATGGACAGACTTTACGCAACATTTCTATTAATATGTATAATTTTTTGTGAAAAACCGATATCATTTAATATATTGTGTCAGTTTCTACTTTAAAATGCACAGTTATGTCTAATGAAATATTACTCTGCCGAGTTCGAGCAATTAATATTGCTTACGCTAATGAATTTTTGCTATAAATACATTGTCCATCTTGCACGGACGTGTATACGAGTTAATACATAGCCGCGAGATTGTTTTGTAATTATGCAGTATCGTCAAATCGCATACATGACATATTCTACGTTTATTGAACGTTTTTTTAATGTAATTTGAGAGTGTACAAGATTGCCGTATTGATTATATTTGCCGACGACCTTGACTATTAGCTGTCCGATAATGAAATGATACTTCCATTAAATAGAAATTATTTTTTATGTTGCACAGAAAAACTTTGTATAGGCAAGAAATATTGCTATATTATTCACATTTTTTAATTTTAAGAATCGATCTTCAAAATTTATCTATAATTCTATTCACATATTTTGTTTTATTTTCTTTCCGTTATATTTTTTCGAATGATATACTATAGATATATATTAGAAAATAATTCAACAAAATGTCAATTAAATAACACTAATTAATAGTATAATAAACAGAATTAATTGAGAAGTATGATATTGGATAGTAAATACCGATTTTATCTGCAATTTAAAAAAAAAAAAGTGGAAAAAAGATTTTAATAATCAAATCAAGCTTATTCGAAATAATTAAAATTCTAATGTTGAAATGTGAATTGTTAATTGTATAGATAGTACACTATTAAATTAATTATTCTCTTCGAGCTTTGATGTTTTAGCTATGCGGAAGGTAGATGCATTTATAAACTAGTCATACTTGCAATGGCATATTTTTTTATAGATAATTGTCATAAATCACTGATGCAATGTCAAGAGAGAGAAGTAACATATCTATATATGTGTCATTTAAAAGTGATTTATGTAACGTGGTCGTTCAAGACCATTGTTGCATGCGCGCGTGGAACTATTACTACGAACGAATTGATGATATTCCCATTTTTCCGCGAGCGATAAGATCGCCTGCGTAATGTTGTCGACGTATGACAGAAAAGCGCCATTATTTCCGGTGTTGATTGTAACATTGAGACAGGATACGACGATTGCGATGATGAAAGCGGTACCTAGTAGCTAACGCTTATTCTACGGTTATCCATAGTTTGTAATTAACTGTAGCCGAGTTAATGAGCGTGTAACTTGGAAAGACAGTTGAATATTTTGATATACATATAATGAGCAACTACCTTGCATATTTTTATCGCGCATTATATACGCAGTAAAATTCTTCATTTATTTTTAACGTCGTTTCAATGTGATATGACAATACCGCTATCAGCATATCTACTGAACTTTGACCTGTATCTTGACGTTTAAAGAAAATTTTAGCGAGAGGGTTATTTATAATTTGAAAATGACATTTTTTTTTCATTTGTTAGGATTTGTAGTCGCGATGTTTGTACAATTAAACAAAATATATAAAAGATAGATAAAATATTTTTTTTTTTTTTCATTCTGATAAAATTGTCTTATAACATAACCTTTTTTTTATACTTTTTTTTTTTACGCAAATATAATTATGCATTTATTGACATCGAAATGTTTGAAGCTGAAGAGAGGGAGCCTATATTCGTCTATACTTTTTAGTCTCATTCGCAATAGCAAAATCTGTCGTGATATGATTATGCCGCAATTAATTAGAGCGATTATTGCGGTATAAGTAATCATCCAGCTGTCAAAAAAACGCCGGCGAGGTCGTCAATTTTATTGATTATATCATTGAGTTATGTAGTTGCATGATGAAATAGTTACATCATTACTTTATATTAAAAAAACTTTGCAATGTATCTCTTAATCTATCTGAACCTATTAATTTACTAATTTGTTTTCTTATATATTTATCCTGACAAGATTAATGTTTTACGAAAACAAAATTCTTATCATTAGGAAAATGAATAGAGATAAAATAATAATCTAATAAATAAGCAAATAGCATTTTAATTATTGTTATTACTTTACTATCGAATATTAAATATATTGAAGAAAGTTATAAAAAAAGATGATAACTAAACAAAATTTCGATAAGAGATAAATAATGTCAAGTTTGTTAAAGAATTCGCAGTCGAAAGGATATATGTCACGAAAATGTCCCACAATTCAAGGAAACTTGACGGTTGTAAAAACAAATTTCGAGACGAATGCTTAGCGAAGCACGTCGCCAGATAATTAACGTCGACATCTTGACGCGAATGGACATCCCTAATTTCTTCCGGATGGCCGGGCATTCTACAGTTTTCTCAGATTCTCATTCGCGATCCGCGTGTCTTCGCTTTCTTAGTTTATCTGGCAACAAACGCAGACGCGGTCACAGACGGAATTAGACGGACGATGGTGACTTACTCAGTCGACTGTATTCTCGTATCCGCTTCTCCTTCAGCATCTCTTATTTGTGATTCTCTGACGCGAGCGGTATTTGCAGCTTCTGCACACTGTTATAAACAGTTGCGTGTTTGTCTCACGCGACGTAGCGTGTGAGAAGCTAGAGGTAGATAGTTACAAGACGATGAAAATTGCGTGCCGCGGAATGCCCGACGACAATCGTCGATCCTTTTCGTGTCTAGAATTCTACCCGGAATAAACGGAGAGAGATATAAGCTGGACCACACTGACTAATTTTGTTAATTTTGCGCGAAGTTTTTCTCCCTCAGAAAACAAGTTTCGTTTATACATATATATTAACTAATTTTTTTTCTTGATATATTATTGGGATACATAAAAAAATATATAAATATACTTAATTTACCGTCAAGATTATACTTAAAATATGATAGAGATATTTTGTATCTACAATATATATTTTATAATCTCTAATAGATAAGTATAAGCTATATTTGAAAGAAGCAGAGTCATGTAGGATGTTATTATGACGTAATTGATCTCGAAGCTCAAAAAAGCTTTATCTTTCTTGTCGAAGGTAAATATCGCGATATCGGTTTGTTTGCATCCGTTTGATCCACTTTTATATCTTAATCTCGCGCGAAATTAAATAAACTCGTGATTGTTACTTCCGTGTATGAACTAGAGCGAGAGATTTTAGAAGAGAGAGGAAAGAGAAAGAGAAAAAATATAAGTAGAAGGAAAGAAAATTAATACAATTTGCCAAGACAAGCGGATACATAACTGGAAATAGTGAGCGCAGAGTGTGAGAACGTATATTACATCTATTATATCATAAAAAACAAATCTGTTAGCTTGATAATTCGATACTTAAATATAGGGCTCAGGTATAACGATAATCGTGTAGAAATAAACAGATAAATCGTTGATGTGTCGTGATTGCACTTATGATATCGAATACCGTTATACAAAAACGACCATGTCGCTTTGATCCAGTTAGAAATATAATACGAATAAAATTTGATGTTAATCTAGCGTTTCCGCGTGAAAATTTATCTATTTTGATAATCTTTTTTTATATTGCAAATACTTTGACGGACATCCATTTCAAGTTACAGGTGAGTTCCATCGCAGTTTTAAAATATCTCTTAGTATTTTTACAAGTTCTATTGCAATTATTCTTTAAAAAGAAGATAAGAAGAAAATGATTTAAATTATATCATAGCGTTAATTTGCTACTCAACAGTGTCTAGAAAATACGATAATACATCACAAATTACATTTAAAACTTCGACATATGTGATTTGTGTAAAAGATAAGTTCAGTAATATATTTTTAAAGCTAGTGTTCTCTATAGAGCGCTTTATATTATATTATAAATAAAGACGTGCAGAACTAAAGGAAATATTGTAATAGGTTCTTCTCTGCGTGTGATACAGTTCGCGACATGATAATATAAATGTCATATTTCATGTCTCGTCGCAATTTCAAAGATTCTGAGATCGCTACTGTATTCACGATGCAATCTGTTCATGATATGGTCGATTCCAAAATGGGCATACATATCTTAATAAAAATACACGCGCGATCATCGCGCGGATCGCGTGAAATCAACATCAATTTTTATTCGTATCGTGTTTCTAACCGGATCAAAGTCGACACGATCATTTTCGAATGCCGGTATCCAGTACCGTAAGTGCAATTTTTCATTTTATTTTAAAGTTCTCAAAAAATCACAACGCTGCCATTCGATAGATACTCTTTCTGATATTTTAATAACATGATAACGCGATTATTACGTGTCCGAAAAAAAGGCAATCAGATTCAGAGAACAATTTATACAAAACCAAAGAAAAAAAAAAAAAAACTAATCAGAGATCATAGTATTTGTCATAAGTATTTTAATTAAAAATTTAATATTTTTAAAAATTTATCTTTAAACTGTGTTTAATGAGATATGATTAATTGTCCTCTTCTTCTAAATTAATTTGCATTAGGAAATGGTTATTCCAGTACATGTAGGAAGCGATTATATGTGGAATATAAAGTTAGCCGTGATTAATTTCACGTTTTATTGATCACGCGGTAGCACGTACCCTATGTGTTTAGACTATAAAATATCCAATTTCTGGATGAATATTTCCTTTGATACACCGTAATCAGGAAGGCAACCCGCATTTATGCATGCCAAAATGCGGAGATGCGTATTTCCATAATAGAAATTTTACACATTTTCCAGAGATATTTTCTAAGAGATGTAAATTGAATAAGTAAAATATTAACATTTTTTTAAACATTTATGGAATAAACATTTTCATCTGCATTCTAAGAGTTCATTTTAAACTCTTTTAGCGAAAAAATATTTTGTTCTCGTCGCGTTATCTAAAAGCATTTAATGTTATTATCTGCATACCACGAAATTGATTGAGTTGACGCCCACATAGATCAAATTTAATAGGTAAAAATTTCTGACTATTAACTAATTAACGTTATTATTACGCGTAAAAGTACCATGACATAAAACTATAAAACTTTTACGGCATCATTAATTTTATTGCATGGACGTAACGTCCGTTACTTTCGCATTGTTTATTATCGTCCTGGTGATGGTCGCGTGCATCGTGCGCTGGTGTCGATCATTGCCGATTAGTACTAACAATGAATATGCAACCGCGCGTGCATGATTACGAATGCAAATTGCACGGTAACTTGTATACGCATTCGTAAAAGCTTCGCACAATGAAATAATCACGTGACGAGCACATGACAAAAGGAATCGGGTCGATTTCTTATGTCAATACGGTTGATGCGACGCGAGAGATGGGCATAGATTCATACGGCCCTGAATTGCATGCAACGAGTAAGACGGCAACACGTATACGAGAAAAAGAGAAGCCGACCGAATCGGCGAGTGAGCTTTACGGGCAGGGTGAGGTGGAGGGGGTGAGGGGGACGAAGAGGATGGAGGAATGATGGCAAAGAGAAAAAGAGAGACTGGTAGAAACCGGTAGAGAGAAGCGAAGAGAAAGACGGAGATTCGTGTCCGCGTGGAACGTTAGTGAGCGAGACGAAGTAAACGTGCGAAAGGTCGAACGGAAGCGAAGCAAGAGGGAGAAGATTCGCGATTGCAATCTGCACGGATGAGTTAATATGTGTAACTTGGAAACGGTGCGGTGTGAGCGCGAGGGGAGAGGAAGTACTGTTTTTTTTATTAAAGAACGACGCGCGCGGGATATAGTGCTATGCGAGACGAGGATGAGCGGCCGCGATTGCGGGCAATCCGGTCGAGAAAATTGGCAATGCATGCCACGAGCTTACATAATCGCAAGCTAGACGTAGCAAGATAGAGAATGAGAGAGAGAGAAAGAGAGAAAGAATGAGAGCGAGAAAGGCGCGTGATGCGGGCAATCCGGTCGAGAAAATTGGCAATGCATGCCACGAGCTTACATAATCGCAAGCTATAGACGTAGCAAGATAGAGAATGAGAGAGAGAAAGAGAGAAAGAATGAGAGCGAGAAAGGCGCGTGCAGAACGGATGAGGAGCACTGTTGGCGTTGCATTTGCGACGCGACGGAAGAGGAGGCGGAATGACACGTGCACTCACATATGCACGCACGCACACAAACACGTACACATACATATACATCAGCGTCCCGACGCGCATCGCACGCGGTGGGAAGCAACGAGCGCGAGGCATGACTCGGTTCTCCTTGACATTAGCGACAATGTACGTAACGGTCGAGCGGGATATGCATATAAGTGCGTCGCGCTTATCTTATCTAGAATGCACAAACGATCGCCGTGTCGTGACATCGCATGTATGTACGCATACTGTACACAAGCGTGGACCGTATTGGTATTTTGGTACGCATAAATGTGAAGTCGTTTGGTCAGCGGAATATTTGATTGAAACGCACTTTTGCAATATGCACATATATATTACGGTGTTTTTATTTAATTTTATGTCCTTTTAAAATATAAAATACCGTTTAACATATACCATTTGCGTGAATTTTTATTGTCGCTATTTTGGATGCAAATCAACGAGAACGATCGCGCATACAAAGTGCAAGGACGATACAATGTGCGCGACACGTAAAGTTTTTTTTAGACAGTACTCTCGAAGCTGCAATGTATTTATATATGCAAGGCCTTCAAATCATTGCGTTTTCTTTCAGCTACATCTCTCTTCCTTTCTTTAAGAATTTAAAATTTATTTTTTTTTTCTTTTAATAGTTTAATTAAGATATTATTATAACGTGCGAATTATGTTCGAACTTTTATATTTTAATATTAAAATTGCAAATATTTGCAATTATATATATATATATAATATATATAAACTCAGCTTAATTAAATTAAATTAAATTAATTGTCTTTTTACGATTTGAAGATGAAATACAATATTTTCCGATTATTATAATCGTATAACTATTTTAATTATGATCCGTAACGACATTGTACTTTTTTTGTAATGCTCTACTTGTTTATAATTTCTTCCATTTATTCGACTTTTTCTACAAATGTTTATATGTCAATCACCAATGTTTGTACGGCGATATTGTAATAAGACATGAATATTTCATTATGCTATACGTAACAAGCACGCAATATGAATCTCACGGTTCGTCGAGTAACGCGAATTAACTAATGGTTTCATGCTTTCCGAAGTTATGTTCACAAACTCAAAGCCAAGCTTTTGATGCGTCGTACCAGTATCGTGTTTCTGTGAAGATAATAATGCATACTTTATAGTAAGCAAGCATCTAATACTTGCAATTTCTATGCATCGTATATACACTATCATGCTCATTGCGATAAATAATTTATTAATACGAAACGGATTTTTATCCTTCATATTAATAATTATTGTAATTAATGCAATCAAGTTTTCCTTGACGTAAATCTAGAATATATTTCCGAGTGCGATTAATTCCGATCTAAAGTACGCTTGAATGCAAACACGCATGCACACATTTTTGTTGCGTTACTGATATTATTTAATTAGTTTTTGAATTTGAATATTAATTTTAAGTTCTCCCTCCCATTCGCATAGACAATAAAACGCACTTTAGACGATCGATTTATTCAAATCCAGAGCGACGTGTTACGAGACTTTTATTTTTCGTTGAGAAATTTTGATGATAAATATATACTTTTTGCTTTTATTCTTTCTCTTTCTCACATATACACATATTATATGTATATACAGGGTGAATCACTAGAAATTGCCTTCTAAGATATCTTCATAAATACTGATTTTAGACAAAAAGGTTTGATATAAAAGTTAAATTATTTTGAAAGGGCTATATCTTGTCTTAGTTTCTTTTTTAGATGCAGGCGTCAAAAAATTTTGAAGATCATCAAGTTTTTTCAAGGTCATTTCAAGATTACTCCATAGTCAAAGTGTTATAGATCGTTCGATTCGTCTTTTTATCCTTTACAATTATAGCTGATTAAAAATAGGGCTTTCCATTTAAAAAACTGGAGATGATTTCCAAAAATTTTTGATGCCTACATCTAAAAAAAACTAAGACGACCAGAATATAGCCCTTTCAAAATAATTTAACTTTTATCTTACAACTTTTGTCTAAAATCAATATTTATGAAGACATCTTAAAAGGCAATTTCTAGTGACTCACCCTGTATATTAAAATTTGAGAGGTGAAACATTGAGCAATTTTAAATACATTATTAGCTTGATATAAATGTAAATGCAAAAAGTTAATAAGTTTATTAATTATTATAATATGGTTATGTTGGAATTAATCTTTTTTTAATGAAAATCAATTTACTATTAAAAAGTGCAATTATTATATTTAACTCCAAATTTATAATTTACTTAGAAATTGATATTAAATTAATTTCTCCAGAAACGAAGAATTTTGCAAAGAGTACGTTTTTCACATTTTCTTTAGCAATTCTCACAAGAACGTTTTTTAATTTTTGATTTAACAATTGTTATTCTACAACATTTCAATTTAATCAAATTATTGGGGCCCAACTTTGCGTCAAGCGAGAAGAGGATAGAGGAGACGGAGAAAAACTTTAAAGGCCCCGAGAGCATAAAATGGTAAACGGTCCTTTGCACGCGGGAGACATAACAGCAGGCAAGCCGATTTATATGCGCTCCTTAGCTCGCGCGTGCACGCACTTTACGATATGTAAAACCACTAGGACCGTCATTGTGCGACGTCAGTGCTTCGTCGTAAAACCAACTATTCGAACCTCAACTTTGAAAGACTTTCGAATAATATTACAACTTTTGCATCACGCATAGCCGTTCATTTTTAACGGGTATAAGGCGGTTGTGCGTGTGCCGTTCAGGCAGAGTACCCTGACTCTTTCTCGTTACTCCTCCCTGTTATTTTATTCATTCCGTCGCACCTCGATGCCTTTTTACATGCTCCTTGTTTTGCAGCAACAATTATTTTATGTATAATGTTAAATAAACAGTCTAATATACATAATAGGTATTATTATATTAGAAATTTAATTTCTAATATTAAGAATTTAGTTTCTATTAATATTTATATCAACAATTTACAAAGTGGATATATATATATATGTTTTGATTTATAAATAATATTTCAATATTAGCGAAAAAATGTTTGAATATTTCTTTCTTTTAAGTGATAATGAGAAGCATCTCATATTAAAGCAGTTTATATTATTGCTGTGGAATAATGTGAAAAAATCAATATGAGAACAGATTTCTCTCTTACATTTGCGTATTCATAATTGTGTATTTCCCAAAAAGGAGACCATAATCTGTTATTAATTGATTTTTACTGTTGTATAGATTCTTATTGAATTAATAGACTACGTATTCTTCACAAATGGTATCATTTTAATAAATTATATGTAGAGTTTTGCGTTCACACTCGGATGTTTGCTGTGCATCGCTATATGCAGCAGATGGTTTCGTGCATGTGTAATTATATCGCCGTCGAGAAAACCAGTAATTTCAATGCGGGAAGAATACAGAAAACGTGTTCCGCAAAATTTTTTCTAATATGTATATAATTTGTCATGGCTAAATTGTGGAGATCAGGGTTAAAGAATGAAGAAAGTGGAACATTGAAATAATACATTGGTGACATGCTACGGTAGATGAGCATGTGATGGGCAAGTCGATATGCAGAAGCCGCTTGTCTGCATTTGCAAAAGCAACGTTGATCGCGCAATATAAGAATTTGGCTAAAATAATATAATCGTGCATTTGGATTCTTAATACATCACTTTAATATGAGAGATGATTGATAAGCAATAAAAGATAAATTATATACATTGTGCTTAAAAGAAATGCCCTGAGTTTTATATTCGTTCCGGGACGAATGGGGATGGCGTCATGTAATTCTAAAGCGACCGGAAGTCATGGCGATTAAATAAGTTGGACGCCAGCGAACACGCAGCTGCGAATCCTATTTCTGAGCACGTTTGATCCGATAATACTCTGTTACTCGTAATACCTATCGCAACACGTTGAAGCTACCCTCTATACATTGTGTTTAACTTTGGATCCGTGTTGTTCCCTTGCTCACGCTCATGGCATCGTTTATGGATGCGTATGATATCCGATGACTTTCTTTATTACGCAATAGACTTGGATTTACCACATTTTAAGAAAAAAGAATTAAGAGATCAAGAAATTTATAAAACTTTCTAATCTGACGCATCTTATATTCTTTTCTCTGGGGATAGTATCATAAATCGTCAAGCCATTCTTCACAAGTGCAATTTTCTTCCAATCGTAAATGTTTTCCGTGTCTCGAGGTTTAAGTAGATAAGAAATTCCTGTTTCTCATGTACCGGTGTTTACATGCGACGATGTGACATTAAAAAGTCGCGCGATTGCGGACAACTCTCGCGGAGAGAAGAATCGGACAAAACGAGCGTGTACGTGAGAATACGTCGTTGAATGTAATTTACGAGGCAAGTTGTATTTTTGTGGCTTACGAATACTTTCTATGTTGGTTGGATTCAGTCGCGTGTATAGCGCGTCTTTTATTTCTCATTTCCGTAATAAATGCGTTTTTTACATAATGCATATCTCGCGATATCAGGTTATCATTTTTGTGCGCGTGTAGATAATTGCACGTATCTGGGCGGGCGTGTCTCGGAAAGTTTCTCACCTACGGCCGACGTGTGATCCTCGTTGAACATACATATGTAGAAAACTGAAACCCGTAATAAATCTCGAGAATACGCTCTCCGCGGCCGAGTCGCAGTTTGTTGATAACCACACCGGTTGCCCGAGGTGCACGGTATAAATACTCGAGTGCCCGATAATGTTTCGAACGTGCAGTCAGTGCAAAACACCAAGATGTTGCCGCTAAGAAAATTGTTGCCCCAAGCATGACTGCTAACCATGGTAGATTTTAAAACATAGAGAACAAGAGATAATGTATTTTATATTACATTATATATATATTGCAGTATATATATTTTTTACGCAAATTAATTTTCTCTTCTGTCAAAAACAGAGGAGAAAGTAAAGATTGTTGAGGTTTTATTCTTCGTTATCTTGTTTTATTTAGTTCCATACGAAATATTAAATATCGCTCTGTTACATTTGTTGTCGTATTTTCTTATATTATGAATACAATAGCCGTACACATATAATTCATATGAGAAAAATTGCAAGTTTTAACTGAGAGTACGTCGCTACTACAGGTATATCAATGGCGGTAACGAATGAGTTATGCAATACAAGTTTTGCAAAGTGATTCCTTATTCTCTTATTCTTTTAAAGTGATTCATTACGACGCGCAAAACTTTAACTGTACGATTATGCGTTGCGAAGGGTATAATAATTGACGAAATTATTAATGTGTTATAAACTGCGCTTTTAAGTAGGTATCAAAAGTGTCAGACCTTTCTTGGAGAGGAATTGAACGTAAGCTGTAAATAAGTATGCGAACTGTAAAGTTATGACGTATAATAGATGCGTTATAAATTGGCCTCATCGTCAAATATCGGCGAAGATATATCCCTGCAATCAAGCAACGTCGTTCACACATGTTAAATCGGCCAATTATTGGCAGTAAGTGAGAATCCTGTGCGCTTCGCGCGAATTGAAATTGTCGCATAATTTTCAGCGTATAAATTCTGCAATCTGGTATAATTCATCACAATTTCTAAGTACCTTCGTAATTACCGTGCATACTTCACAAGAAATTGCTACGATTAAATAATTTAACTTGTAATTTATCAAGATCAAACAAAATTTATATCTATAATTAAAAGATAAAACTATTTTGTGGTTGATTGGCTATATTTTTTTTTCGAGCAACAAAATGTAAAGCCTCGTTTTTTTTTGGGCCCACCTTGTTCTAAATCGATTTTAAAATGTTGAATGTTAAATGTTATAAATTGACCTTCTTTATTTAAGTGAATCAATGATTATACTTGTATTTAACCATATATTTCGGCGTAATTTATCTGACATAACAAGTGCGCAAAATCAGAATTTTTTGAATGAAGCATCGCAAATTGTACGCGATACCTAACTATTCGATAATGTCATAAATTGATTCATTTCAGTGGGTGCTAAAGTATCCCTGCAATTATAAGATTAACTAATTTAGATCGCTTATAATGCCCTGAACTGGTAAATTTATATAGCGAAGGAAGTTCGAGAAAGATGGGAGAGGACTTTTCCAACAGCGAACGGTATTCATTATCCCTGGGAGACCGGTAACAATTAAAATTAAATACTACCAATTAAGCAATGAAAGCACAAAAGCGGTAACTATTAAGCAAAGTTGCATTCATGCGATAGATCATTTTGTGCCGTTAGCACAGTCGGAGAGACACAACGGCTTCTACTTATGCACATTTATGAGAAACAGGCCTCGACACATCCGGTCCATTTTGGATCGAGTGGATTTTTATTGAGTTCGATGGATATCAAAATACCAGCAGCGCATACAATTCTTACACAGAATTTTTATATGTATATCTGCATATTCTTCTATATATTTATCAGCTGTAAACTTACAATCAGTTTATTTATGATAATTTAAAAAAAAATTTAAACTACAAAAATATTACTAATAGATAATATGTTACGATTCTTGATATATTTATATGCATAAATTAATTCTAACGATGTGTTTTGCAAAACAATAATCATTTATGAGATGATTCGATTTGTACTAATTTCAAATAAATCTTCAACTTTATCATCATACGCGATAATGAATATAATTATCTTGTTTTTCTTTTCAGTCATTCACGAAATCCGAGGGTTGATGTCGTTGATGGTCTATGACGAGACATACCGTTATCGTCTTTCTACATCGAGCACTGTAAAACCTCCGACGCACTCGTGTGAAATAGAAACGCCACTGGCTTCATATTCTTTGCCGCATTGGCTCTTTAATTATGCAGGCTCTGTGAATACGCTTCCGTGCACTAACATCTCGCCTAAACCTCCTATATATTACCGGTAAGTATTACTTCATTATTTGCTTATATTTTCTTAGGACTTGTGTAAAAATCATTATCAATTTCGATTTTGAAGGCACATAAACATGATCTACATCGCTATAATTATATATCTATGCACGAGTACGTCGAGACTAATGTATTTCGCGATATTACTGTGATGCGCAAAATCCAACTGATGAAATCGAATTCGATATGAATGCTAGGTGAGAAAAGGATTAACTTTCAGTTTAGAACATAAATCGTAGTTACTCACGGTGCCTTTTCTTTGTTTGGATTGTTGAGAGTCCGAGTCGTAATCACAAATCCGGTACACATAAAATAGGTTCTGAGCTATAAAATCCTTTTCCTTCTGAGAGCCCAGCAAACCTCAACGTTTAGATCAGCAAACTGTTCATCCTTCTTTCTGATTCTTCACTGTTCAGATTCTCGTCCGCTCCTCCTTTTTCGCTCTTTTTATTGCCCCGACTTTTTTCTTCTGTTAACTTTCCAAATTTTAACATCCGTAATTATAAAAAGAGATAATTGTTTATTCGTAACGCTAGTCGTTGTTGCCTGACAATAGATATTGAATCTACTGATCTCTTGTATTTTTCACGAGAAATATTTTTTGTAAATATCAATAATATATACGAAAAGGCGCACAAAACAGAATGGCAATCAATATTAATAATAATTGAATTGTAAAAGATTAAAATTATCAAACAATCAAACATTGTATTGTATTAAATTATATCGTGCAAAACGAATGGCAAACTGTATAATGAGAGAGAGAAAGAGAAAAGGGAAAAAGGGTTATTACATTGCATTTTCTATGAAACATTTTTTCATCAATATCTATTTTGTGACTAATTTTATCAAAGCGGCCGCTCAGGATGCGTATAAGATGTGCAGAACTTGAGGATACGACGGCCCTCCCCGTTTTCCCAGTTTTAACGATGACAACACTATAAAGAATCGAATTTACGAGTGCTTGACCAGTCCCATTCCATTTTTGTTCACGATAGTCGGCTATCGTTTTTGTCGGGCGATTTAGAGGGAATAGCTTTGCTGTTCGTGAGAAAGCAGGATTCAAAACCCGACGCCAATCGACTATCAGGGATTACGCGCGCTGCCTCAAAGATAAGCTGCCTATGGTATTTACATTTAATTCGCTCTCATACGTTCGCTGGTATCCCAAAGAGATTACGGCAAATCTCGATTAATTACCGATACGTTTCAAGGATTTCTCGTATCTCATCGTTTGCATATTGAGATAAGTTCCAAATACAAGCACGTTTATATTTTCGAAAGAAAATTTTAAATTATAAAATATAAAGAGTAAAAATATTTATATAATAAATCATATAATATATAAAATTTTAAAAACAATAAAAATAAAACCGTAATAATATGATCACATTCGTGGCACATTTTCGCAAACCTTGTCTTTATTGTCATCGAAACGCAGTTCACTGTATATTTTATGTATATTTTGCGAATGTCTTGCAATCTAATAACAGTTGATATTTTGAAATTAAATTGTATTATTAGTAAATATTCTATCAACGTAGAAATGCACGTGAACACTTAAAACCAGAAAAAAAATGTGCCCTGCGAAATAAAACGATTGCTTTTATCGTATAAACTATCTGATATACTGAGACAAGGTCGTCGATTCTCGAGATACTGGAGAAATCCAGATTTATTGAATGCATGCACTCCATCGTTAGAACCGAGAAGGCATCAACATCACAGCGTAACGGTTGGTCGTAAAACGACCGCGTAAAAATGTACGGCTCGCTAAACGCCGCGCGGCGATACTCAAGATATGAAAATGGAAGCGGTAATTAAAACGTCGGCGAGGTTTGTCGGCTATCTCGGCATACTGATTGCTTCCAGTCCATGATTAGGGCTGTTGAAAGTAAATTGATCCCCTTGTCGGACCTCACTCTCCGACTAGTGGAGACCGAGCGATGGAATTCGTTGGTATGTAGTACGCGTACGCATCTTTTTTCTTTTTCTCTTCAATGTAAACGATAAGCGTTTCTGGCGGGAGGCCATGACGACGTTTCACGGATGACGTTTCTGTCGGCCGTTATATGTTGATGCTGGAATGTTTCGCGACGCGAATTGCAAGATCCGCGTGTCACTTTGCGCTCCACTAATACAGACACAACTCTGCATTTCTCAGTCTCGCTCGTCTCATACTTTTTGCATCACTGCAAAATGCATTCACGTATAAAATATGATACACAGAGTTTCTTTTAATATTTTTCTCCATATCGTAAATTAATTTGTGAAAATATTCTCGGTAATTGTTAAAAAAATACATAATATTCTTCTCGACTCAGAAAAATCGATCCTCGTCAATTTAATGTCGCGTAAGCAAAGAGAATGAGGATTCGTGATCGTCCCCTAATAGTTGCGCGAACGTTTGGCGGAAAGATTAGTGCCGCTTTTACAGTAAGCAGCATCAATGTAATCAGACAGGTCGGTCAGAGCGAATTTAACGACGGTCGTAAACGCGGTTCGCTTTACAGCTCACTTTTTTCTCTTTTTTTACACTGCCTTCACCTACCTCGTCATCATCGTCACTGTTTTCTTGTTCTTTTTACCGCCCCTTTTGCGTTCTCCATCGTCGCAAAGTCGTAAGTGAAGCGCGCACCACAGTCACCCACTCATTTTGCTCCATGCACGGTAAACTACTAGACTTTATGTGACAAGCACTAAGTCGACTTCCATGCCTCGACGAAATGCTAATGATTTCCTTAGAACTCGTCTATCATTAGTAAGCCCTTAATGCATAATAACGTAAAAAATCGTAGTATTATTTTTTATCGGCGCTAACATTGGCTGAACTTATGCGATTGTGATCATGTTGCGCGTTATTGATAATTCTTTCATATAATTGCAGACATTGTTACTCTTGTTAGCATTTTGTGAACTCTTGTATTATATACATATTTTTTATAAATGTTATACGAGCTATTCTCGTTGAGCAATATTTACAAATATGATTCTGTTTTTTCGCGTATTTTAGACGAGATATAATAAAATAAATTTATGCAACTAAAATGTCATTAAGTATTTATAGTATTTTTCATTCTTTATCGAATAAATAATCTGGTTAAAATAATTTAGTAAAAATTTCGAGGAAACTCACAATCTTTATTTGGTGTGCTGCAGTGTTAATTGTAAGAAGTAAAACAAAATAGTTTTTACACGATTTTAATTAAAAACATAAATCAATCAATCACTGTTTATTAAATTCGTGAGCAGAATTTATGGCTGCGAATACAGAAAATCTACTGGAAACGTGTCAAGAGGAAACGGCGACGTGTCATGGTCAGGAAAGCACGTTGCCACGGATATAAGTATCCGCTGCGAGCTATAATTTTGGAACGCGTATTGCGCAATTCGATTCCGATATTTGAGAACACGTATGTTCTAACAAACTATATCAGTAATAATTTCCGTTCGTGGATATGATATATAGTTTTGGGTGAGGGATCGATATTATATAAAATATAATGTAAAAAAATAAAAGTAAGTAATAAGAATATGCGTTACAGAAATTATATCTTTTACATAAGGTTTCTATGCTTTTTTTGTTCTTCAAATCCTCGTACGTATATTAAATTCCGAAATGATACTATGTTTTTTTACGGAAATATTTTTTACAGCGAATATTCTTTTCGTTCGTTATATTCCTATGCGCTATCGCCTGTTGCGATGCCAGTCGTTATAAATAGTTTGTATTACACATTGATCCTGCGCAATTATCTCGTCTATACCGACGACGTGACGCCATCGTCGAAATCACTGATAATGATCGGCCAATCGCTGACCTTGATAGCGACTGTCAGTCTCTTTGAAAATGAAGGCACAATTCATTCGAGACAAAGCAATAATAAGCAACGCCAAAGTGCTTGAGCCGCTACGAATACATCTCCGCTTCTTCTTCTTCTTCCTCCTCATCACAAACACACACACACACACACACACACACACACATATCGTCCTTCAAATATGTAACCAGGAACTGGAGAGCGTTAAGCAGTGTAACAGGCTACGATTTCGCTGGCAAAAGGAGTTTTACTACTTTCTAACCACAGTTGCGGGCTACAATTAAACCCCCATAAACCTCGTCGTAACTTTTTTAAAAGCGACCGACCGCGGGTTCGCGCGCACCCCACTCCATTCTCTTGCTCGGCAAAAAACCCGTCATATTGCATTCTTAATGAAGCCTCGAGACGGGTACCGACGTCTTCCGGTCGACTCTAAAACGTCCTCGCCCGGTCGCCTGCTAGAGACTTCTCGAAAAGGGGAGTTCTCACCTATTCCTAGAATTGCAGTAGTCACTGCGGACGCGTGCATAAGTTGTGTCCATGAACTTTAAAATGCCTTTTGCGCATTTGTATTGGTTGTGGCTAATGACCGGTTACACACTTCGCGGAACATTTTTCTTTGCCGAGAAAGGATGCTCTTACTATTCACTATTACTATCAATGATTCACAATTTGTCGAGATTCGATATTCCAAGTTTAACGCGATGTAGAAAGGCACAAGGTGAAACAAATCGACTGATATAACTCGCATCATGTAATCCGTAACGAGGTTTTATTTCTTGAGATATGCGAAGAGAGCGTGGTTGCCTTTGCAGACTCCTCTCTCGTAAGCCTCCTCGTCGGTGTACTCGTCAAGAGTGACGTTCTTCAGCAACCACGCCAGCGGCTATAGAATCGTCGGATAAGTTCACATGATGTTCGCCGAAGACGTCGGTTGCTCGAAGGCAAGAGAAAGGCGAAAAGAGCCGGAGAAAAGGAAAAGAAGGAGAAGAAGGCAGCTAAGAGAGAAGGTTGAGGAAGGAACCTGGCAACCCGGCATGCGGGGTTTTAGCGAGGACTGACGTTTACGGCTCGGAGCGGTCGACCTAGCGCCAGTAAAACTTGAGAAGAAATACAGGCGAAGTCGGCATCGACAGTTAAAGTCATACGCGCGAATATACAACCGGGCTTCTATAAAATACGATGTACCTACCTATGGCGAGCGGAGACATCGAGGTTCACTCAGAATTCTTCGTTTCTTCTTAATGAAGGTGATTGCGCTTTCTATCGATCTGCGCTCGCCATCGATAAACAAATCATTTGCGCAACTGACTTGGGTAGTCTTATGTTTGTGAACAAGAACGAGAGAGCCATTTTAATATTTTTAGCTTGTCAATTATTATTGTCAATTATTATTGTTAATCGTATATAATAGCGGGTTATAAATATAATGTCTAATGTACATGTATTAACCGTATAATTTTTCGTAACTTTTTATATTTTATTTTTGCAATTATTAATTCTTACAATCCACGCTTCATTGATTTCCGATGTAGTTGGATACCGATATTCGTATCATATATACATCTTAACAATTTTTTCTTAAAAATTTTTTCTCTTTATTGTAAATATCGAATTAGTATAGTTAAATACCTCACACATATGAGCTTGATAGAATTGATTTTATTCTATTTATTTTATTTTATTATTTTAGAAATATACGTCGAAAGTATGAAATAAATGTAGTAAAACTGCAGCTCTAGTATAAAGATAATAACAATAATAATATAAAAATTCTGAACGCGAAAGTGCGAAAAGACGAGCATTTATTCGCCAATATTTCGGTAGAATGAACTGGCGTTAACGTTGAAAGTAGAGTAGATAGATATCATTTCAAGTATCCACGGTGATTTTACGGTCTCTCCCTCTTGCCCACCTAAATCCTCGTCAAGGGTAGTAACGCACGGGTAAAGGTGTGAGAATCCGCGAAGCACTTACTGGCAGACGATAAACTTCCATCTACCTCGTCTCCGCAACCGTCGCGAATGTTTTCACTTTAGCTACGTGCCTGGAAGTCTCTTCCTCAGACCTTTTGTTTACGACTTTCCAAGCAGTCACTGTTTGTTTTGGAATATCTGCCTAGATTACCCCCCGGAATAGAGACTCTTCATCGATGAAAGCTTCTCTCCTCGAATATGTGAACCGTATGTAGATTTTCTCACGAAATTGAAAAAGAAGTCAGAAAAAATTCGCTTAATAACCAATTGTTTCTATGAAAGACACGAAATCAGCTTTTGATCGATAATTCTTGTTTATTAATTTTTCTTCTTGTGGTCCGTTAAATCGATCGAATACGATCGAATCGCGCGCGAAAATCATCGATGAAAGTTGCGACGAAACGAGATGAAACGCGGATTATCACGTAAGGAGATTGTTCGAGGTGGTATAGCTGTAAATCATATTTTTACGAGACACTCCAATCCCGGAGGAGAGAATGCCTTTTGAAAATAACAAAAACATGAACTATACTGATAACTGATCGAAACTTTTTTTTTTTAGGCTATTATTACATCATTATATTTATTATTTGCTATTACTATCAATATTGAAACTTATCCTTTTAGATATATATTTCAATTTTACATCTAACAGAATTTTATTATGTAACTTTATATAGTGCATTATATAATATACGTGCGATTTGCGCAAGATAATCGTATTAATATTTCTGTTTCTAGAAATACACGACTATATATCGTTACGCATATTATTTTTTACGAGAATGCATAATGAGTCGCATAATATATCGGCATAAAAAATTCCATATTTACAATGACGAGACGTTCAGCTGCATTTCGATTCGTCATTGTGCTTTAGGAACTTGTGTGTAAAGAAAAAGTGCGACTATATTAGCTCTCGTGCATTCGCAATCGGTCCTCGTACATTCTCTCTTAAAGGCTCGCATCCACTTAACACAAGTAGATCTTACACTCGTCGTGTCATTATAGATACATGTACTTAACAAAGTGGCTGGCACTCGGACGAACCTCGTAAAAAAAGACTGCGGCACAGACGGTTAAAGCCCCATGAAAACGAATCGTATACCGGCACGGATCCACGAGCCAGAATGAGACGGGAAGAAATCTGCGTATTGCGAAACGACCGGGAACGAGCACGTAACACCGGTCTCGTCCCTGAAATGGTGCATCAGAATAACCGTCGATCGTTCGAGAGGGATCGCTTTACGAGTGGAAATAATATTTCGAGCATCGTCAGCTGGCTAAGTCCGTGTAAACGTTGACGGGTGACTAATGTCAGATCATCGCGCGTGCAACAAATAATTCAGTAAATCTTTTTTCCATTGGATATATATTTTGTCTTTGCGAAGTAATTTTTCTATTTTGTTACTGTTACCTGATTTATAACAATTTAAGATTTCTTTTGAAGTTATATGCTGTCGCTTTTATACTTTATATACGCATTCGTCTCTCATGTATTCTTCTCCTAGTTGGATCACGATTAAATTTTATCGACGACTCTTTTAGACACGATTGCAATATCGACAAACAAAAGAGTCGATTAAAACGATGCCTCTTCCTGAGGAGAAGTTTACGGTGTCTAGAAAAGATCCTTTCAAAGTCAATTCTACGAGATGCGGATTGGGCCTTTATCGCTACTACGCTTTCGAGACATTATGTCTGCGGGACGTGTTTTACGATGCGACCAGCTTTTAGTACCGGACGATGTTTTGCTTGGTCAAGCTTTTTAGTGTCTAGCTTGCACTGCTCTTTGTTTACAAGTTACGCGGTTTCGTGTATCTCTCAGATAAGATAGAAGTCTCAATCGAAATATACGACGCGTCAGGTTTTTAATTTTGTTATCAATGTAGTTGTATACCGCTGATACCGCCATTTCTTTGTATTTACACAATATTTTATTTATCTTAATTTTATTTATATTTTTAATTTATTATTTAACAGACATATGAATTAGGAAATTTAACGAAAGATATTCTTATGATTCTGTATTATTGTAAAACGTATAATCCTTTTATTATTACTTATATTATTTTTAAATGTTCTTTTTCACACGCATTAACAATATCTTTTAATTAATTAAAGTTTACAGTTAATTGGTTCATGAATATTTTATTTCTACAATTGTGATTTTAATTCAGATTCTCGCGTTTTTTTTAAATCTTTTCAGATAATATTTCTCTGTGTATACAGCGATGTTGAAGATGCTTAAGTAAAAAAAAAAAAAAATAAAAAAGAATTGCCTTGTCGGGTAACTTGTCGTGGGTAAAGCTGCGATCGAGTGCTTTCGGCAAATAAAATTGATTTGTCCGATTGATGTCCGATCAAGGCACCGATGTGTCTAGACTTTTGAAAAAGTCTGTCACGATTCTCCGCCGCGGTGGGCAGGAAACCGAGTCCGCCATGGTGGATGCACGTATGAAAACTAAGTCCGGGTTTCATTTGACTGGCTTTACGAGGGAGACATAAAATGGATTTTACTGTCGGCTAGTTCGCCAGTTCTCGAGTTGGTATAACATTGCTTTAGCGAACATAATATATCTCCTCCTCTCTCCTCGCGGGTCCTGGTCGTCTCTTTCTCTTACCCCTTGGCTGGCATCATCCTCCTCTGTCTTTCTTATCCGTTCCTTCCCCTCTTACTGCCGTTTCGTAGTGGATTTCGTTTACGACGAAGGACGTGTACCGTTTGTCCATCTCCTCTCGCATTCGTGATCTGACGCATCTTTAGAGCATCACGCTAAGTTTCCTCACCGTCGCTCGTCTCTCCGAGAAAACTTTTCGAATGAGAAATGTCTCGATTTAATATCCGCCGTATAAGTCGACATGACGATCGTTAACTTCTCTTCGGCTTCGTTTCCCAGCCGGTGGTTTCCGATACTCGATAATTCAACATTTCTTTCTACATCAGTTTGTTCCTATCGTTTACATCGAATAACTGGTTTAAGTTTAAGATCGCTTTTTAATATCAACGTTAAATGACAGAGAGAGTAATTATTTCTACATTATAATTTTTCAAGAGACGGACAATCTCTTTTTTTCTCTTTTTAAGTATAGGGAAACTATAGGAAGATATTTTTTATAACAATGTAAGTAAACGGTGTTTCTGATGATATAGAAACAAGTTGTAATATTTTTTATCTTTCTGTCGCAACTAGCGTTTTAATCTCATTGTTAGTGCTGTAACTAAAGTAGTAATTATAACTTTTTATACTAAAATAACCGATAATTAAAAAATGTTTATAGCTAAATTAAAATTATTACTTGCTTAAAAATAAATAAATTTTTGACAGAAGGGAATATATAAATTACATATTGCATCGATCTTTTTACATTTTCAATAGATCACATACAAATTACTTCACGTTTTCTGAATCTTGGAAACTGCGTCGCAGAATAATACATGATGTATTGCGTAAAGCTCATTGCATAAGACAGTGCGATTAATTTGTTTACGTTTATCATAATTATGCGCTGGGAATATGATCGTAAGCAATATGGCAGTTGCTATTGCGGCGTTTAATTTGATACAACTTTATTGTATGTACTTAAATACGATATGAAAGTAATTGTACTTTAATAATACGAAAGGTAAGAGTAGAAAATAATAATATGGCCAATCTCTTTCATCTAAATTTGAGTAAGAATTAAAAAGAAAATATTAAAAAGAAATATATGAAGAACAAATATATAGAAAAGAAATAAACGATATCATTTTTTTATTTGAGTATATATATTACGCTTTTATTATTTATTATGTATATTAATGAGATGACGATAATTTTCAGCGGCTTAATTAATTAAAACGAGAAGAATAAAATATATATTAAGGCGAATGTGAAATATTAAACTTATATAATAATGGATTTTGTACAGTTGATACGATACAAGTCTTTTACTAATCAAATGTTTTTTCATTTTTGTTTTCAGACCGATTACCGATGGTCAATGAAGCAAATCGAGGAGAAAAACATGTCAAATCCAAAGAAAATTGCGCCGCCTCCGAAGTGATAAGACGGCTATTGAGACGAGCGGTGGACTTATATAACAAATTTAATCATTTCTAGGTCGAGATTCGGACATTTCGTGGTGTCAACGTCGCTGTGTATATTCGATGGACCGAGCAACTTATAACCGAGATCGAGTTCTTTTTGTCACGAGAAAGCCGCCGTATCAGTTCCGAGGGACGTTTCCAGACACGTTTTCCGTCCTTTATTAGTCTTGATTGTCTCGATTGTGTCATGCCGTAGTCGCGCTTCTTTAATAGGAAGTTTCTCCGGTGGGCAAAGAATTTCCGGTTATCTCTTTGCGCGTAATTTCTTTGCAAATTTGATTAAGCAAGATCCTGGAGAACGAGAGATCGCGATATATCACTGTCGCGCCTTTGACTCTCTTTATTACTCGTTCTCGTTTGACGAGTCCATTTCTTGCGTTTTCTTCGCGTGTCCGCTCATATTAAATTTGCAACAAGAATAAAATGGAGAAAATAACAGCGAGCTCACCGTTCCATCTGGGTGATTATAAACGTGTCAAAGCAAATCGCGCTAAAGAATCCATCTGATTGTGAGCAACACAGTTTTATTCGCAGATTTTTGTCAATGCAATGCGTGTGGAAAACCGGACATCAACGACGACAGCGATAGCGGCACTGGTCGAATTAATCGACGAATTGTGGTGATTTTGACGCTTTCTGCTTTATTGATATATCACATATATATTGACTATCGCAAATATTGTTTTCTCAATTCACGTGTTATTAAATGTTACTGGATGGTACGAAACGTGCAGCTATGTGCGTGAGTGACGGTAAGATATTTACAGTTTGATTAATTATTTAAGTTTTAAGAATCTGTCGATGATAGATTTTTATGTAAAATCTTTCTAGCAGAGTATTTCTTTCTAAGATATGTCTCTTGTCCGATGCTCAAGAACGAATTTTTTTAATTTAATAGTATCGCAAAACGAAGCAGTTAATGCAACAAGCATTAATCATAGTCGCGCGTTATGCATATTAAAATTTTTTTTTGTACCGTATTCAGTGATTTAGCGGCCATTTATGTTCCCTCAATAATTAAAACTTGCCGTTTATATGCAAGTGCATCTGCGCGCATAATAACGAAATCGATGGATGTGTCAGTCGTGCGATGAGGTGCAATAAAACAGCTGCTCAAAAACTGGTTATTCCAGCTCACAGCATATTAATATACAAATAAGAACATCGAAAAATTCTTTTTGATAGTAGTCTCATTCTCTTCTGCTTGTTTTTTTTCTCAGTGTCCCTCTCTCTCTCTCTCTCTCCCTCCCCCTCCCTTTTTATCTATCTATCTATCTATCTATCTATCTCTGTCTCTCCGATTCTTTTGCTTCGCGTTTGAAATGCATTCCGAATAACAATTTGATCCATAGTTTGAGATTGAATATTATCATAGATCTCTTCATGACTTGTTTCCGTAAATGAATTTACGTTTTATGCGCGCCGCGTTACATCGAACTTATCGCCTTGCTTAATTTGTAACAGAGAAATTAATTTACATATTAATCTCGTGCGCTTTTGTAAACACAAGGTCTTACGCGAAAATTTATCTTATGATTAATTTTCCTTTCGCATATATAAGTGATTCGAGATCGATATTTCTCTTGGTGGAATTATATTTTTCTTATTTAATAAAATTAGAGGGATTTTTTATTAGAATCAATTCCAATATAGTCTACGGTAACTTTTACTACGGTAATTTTTATTTTATTCTCGCATTTTTATCGTGTTTGAAGGAAAATATGCCAATTCCGGCGCGGCCATTCGAGCGTAGAAAATCATTCTGTTTCCGCCTTGCAAATCGTGAAAAGAGAAAGTTTTCATGGATATCATAACGGCGGTTTGACAATTGATTTTTAATTGACCATTGCAAGATACGTTACACGAAATACATATATTTCCTTCGATTCTTTTGTTAAGTGTGACACACTGGTCGCGTCAGATGTCCGTACAAAGATAACATACAGCATGACTTATTATCGAGCGGCAAACCGATATCTTATAATTTTCGACATCCTGTTTATTACAGGGAATCACATATTCTCAATTTAAGGCAGTTTATTTTGACACAGATTACATATATGGAAACGCGATTGTAGTGCAACTTTTTTATCATTTTAAAGAGAAAAATGGTAAGGGAACGAATGGAATTAGATGATAGTGTTTGTTGCGTGAAAAAAATTACGACATTGCTGAACGAATTTTAATCACTTCTTTGTTTTTGTCCGCCTTCCTCTGTGTTAATGCTTTTCTATGCTCGTTCACTGATATTCATTCTTAATTGTTCCTATTTGTTCGATCTGGACCCATTGGATACATTATATCCGATATTCGTCATAGAATACCTCAAAATCGCGAAGCATCAATAGTAGTCGCCGTAGACGACGTACCTTGTACAAGCTCGCGTGCATTACGTTCGCGTATGTAGCATGCGTGTACAATATGTTTGTCCGGCGAGCACATTGGCTCATGCATTTGTATGCATATGTGCTCGTCTCGGCTAATTATAAGTATGTACGAATAGATCTGCACGCGTGTTTTACAAAGTATCATGCACAATACATGAAATTATCTGGCCTAAAGACATATAACATTCATCTCTTTTGCCAAAAAAAATATTGCAGAGACCTTGAAAAAATCTTGAAACCGAATGGCTATTCATAATTTTCCGATAATCTTAACTGATATACAGAAAGAGAGAGTGAAACTAAAATAAAAAAATAGATTTTTCTTTGTTTTTACGGAGAAAGTTCCAAATAATTACAATTAGATCATCAAACTGCTATTAATGATATGGTTTTTATTTTGAAACTCTGCGATCTTTTTTTCGTTCATGGAGCATTCGAGCAATCCTGTTGAAAGAAAGATTTTTATTTATATTTAATCGATAATTTAATCAATCAGAAGTTAATATTTTTATCTGATAAAATGTACTTTGCCGTGATGTATTGCACGCCTTGTACTTTGATTATTAACGTTCGTACATTTCACAGGGGGAAATCCCTACACATTTGTCGGTCGTTTAATATACTTTTGATAAGGTACATACACAATTTTAGAGATTCGACAATTTCACGAATGTTAGGTGCTGCGCGAATTGCTCATAGCAGATTCGCTCTCAATCTTGCAAACTTTACGTATTAACGCCATATTTTTTTAAAGAAAATTAATCTTAATAATGTAATCGATATCCTATAGATATATTTGTTAGAAATATGCATCTCTTTTGCGTAGATAAGAATATATTTGCGCCGTGTGGATAAATACGCGCACATTTAAGCGAATAATAAAGTATAATATTAGATTATTGGTGTCAGCGATAGCGATTAATTCAGTCTTTATATATGTATGTACACATACACATTTGCGCGCGCGCGCGCATATATATATATACACACACACACACACCACACGTACACACGTATACATTTATCGTTCGTGATATCTATTTTTTGCATAAGTATATATGGAGAGACTAGTTCGCGATTAATTTTCTGTGAAGCCAGCTCTCTAAAAAAAAATAATTGTTGATTGTTGTTTCTTCTTTTTTTTTTTTAGAATTTACTTATTTCAGCTGAAACGATCGATGGAGAATAATATTTAATACTTGACGTATATATACTAATAGAGATATCTAGTGTATAAAGAGGATCGTTTTATTTTATCTCGTTGCAATGTGCCTTTTTTGCAAAAAGAAAAAAAAAATCTTGATTGCGAAATACAAATATTACTCATTGACCGATCGAGAAGATTTTTTAAAATGTTAGTCTATACTTAATAAGTTTTTATGAGTTTATTTGGAAAACATACCGTGACAGAAATCTATCTCTAGTAATCGACAGTAAATACTATGGCTGCGTTCGGGGAGCACACTTTTAGCGCTATGAGCGTGTTTTGTCCTTGTTCAACTTTCAATAAGTAACAAAGATAGAACGACGCTGTTAGCGTTAATAGCGTCTCCCCGAACGCACCCTATATGTGTTGAAATATTTTATTGAATAAATTATCTAAAAATAATTGTCCATTCGCCGATTGCGTATATGTGACTGCAAAGTTATTCTTATACGAATAACGTTATTTGAAGTGCTATTTAAAAACAAAGTTAAACAAAGTACACATTGATACTAATATCTCAGTATCAACCGTTGATTTGCACATAGAATCGCAAAATTGCAATCGATTTTATATTTTTTATTTTCGTGATTGATATTAAATAATGAATATCAAACACATTGCTGGGATATAAAAAGCATGAAATTTTAATGATACATTGTGTTTCTGTTTTATTTAGTGTAATCAGATTGTAATAAGGTCCGGAATTAAGGAAAGGAGACCTAAGCATACACTTAATGTGACTTACTTATTCGTTTTAATATAAATTTGACTGTTGTAATTATTTATTCAACGATTCTCGTGCGGGGAAAAATAGTGTAAGAAAGGAATGCAGTAGTGATAATTATTGTAAGATGAGAAAGAAAAATGATTATGATAATATGATGGGAGCAAAAGAACAGCTTTGCTTAAGATAAGAAGGCGAAGAATGGTGCATACGCATATTATTGTCTACAAATTCAGTGTATTTGATGTATTTTTAAGTGTGTTCCGCAATGCATATATAAATAAAGTAATACTGCTAATCAACGGCGCTTAAGAAGCTCGGATTCCTTTTCCAGAACGCTTACATTTTCATTAATACCGGAACTTATAAACGTCATCTCATTTGATGTTTTATTAAAAAATATATTATGCTGTATTTTCAGCTCTCATTTAAACATTTATATTAGTCGGACCATGCAGCAGAAAAAGTTAAATTGATAAGCACATCTCTTCGCATTCTCGGCGAATTGAGATTAGTGCGGCATATTTTTTTTGCGGCAAGTTTGATTTCTTCGCGTGTCATTCCCCCAAACAGAAAATAGACTGTTTAATTGGAATTAACAGGAACTCGATCAAGAATAATTAAATCGCGTGTCAGACTCCATTTCATGAGAGTGCGAGTATCACAGCAACTTTATCCGTACGACGGCGATTTCTAACGTGGATCATTTGAGAAAATGATAGCACATTCTCTTTCATTTTCGAGCGAAATCGTTTTGCAGTTCTCCGGGAATGGATGCGTATGCGGGTTTGATAAAATGCTGAAAGCTCTTCCTGACTTGCTCACTTTAAATAATTGCAGTAATATACATAAACTGTTTTAAAATACTCTATTATCGTGTCTCGGGACTACCTTATTGCGAGGCGCTTTCTTTTTTCTCTTTTTTTTATATGGTATTTCGTTGCTTCCACGATTTTCGCCTCTATTTGTCAGTCAATGCTACGATGGTTTCCCCGGGTTTAAGGCTCAGACCACTGCTTATACGGTTATGTCTTTATAGAGATCGTTCCCGTGATATTATGTATTAAGCATCACTTTCCTGCCACATCGTACGATCGCAATTATACTGACAGCTCGATCGTATGTTTTACCCCAATACCATTACCATCTTAAGCGTGCGTTTATAACTTTTTCTCAAAAAAGCCTGCGTATCAGACGTGAACCAGTATATGCGTGATTACAAGACAGAAAGAACGAGAGGAGTACTCTCAAGTATCCTGTAACGGGAAAAACCAGGTCAACCTGATTGTTCGGTTGTGTCTTGGAGAGATTAATGTTATGATCAAAAACGAATAAAAATAAATATCCTTTCCCAGATAAACCTTTTTATGAATAAATGACATTTATAAGCATATGTTGGCTCGCGCTGAATTTTTGCTATTGATGTAAAAAACGATGTAAAATACGTGATTGCAATGTCGTAAAATTTATTTCATCATAATTTTTTTATTAAATGAATTCCATATGATTTTTTAATAACGTCAGGAGTATCAAAACAAAACGTAATTGTTTTATATGATTATGTCGAACATGAACAATGCGTATAATTGCACTAACATATAAATGTAGTTTGTAATACCAACTTCTATGCGACAATTTGCTACTGGCTGAAAGGCAAGCAAGGGTTACAAATTTGAGAACTGCAGTCTTATACCCACTTCAACTTTTTTTCTTTCCTTATAGATCACACCTGCCATTATGGCGCATTTACCCGAAGTAAAATATTCGATGCACGCGAGCAATCTTTTCAATCGCTACTCACGAAACAACGGAGTGTTTCTCGCAACAATTTTCGCGTTCATCTTGAGTATGAAAAAAGTTCTTGATGGATACGCATATCTTACGTGCGTGCTGGAAATTGTTCGAATATAAAAGTTAGAAGTAGGAGTAAAAATAAAGAAGAAATGGCACGTTATTTACTGTGTCAGGGAATTCGACCGGGTAGTCTGCCATCAATGATGAAAGGTGCTGAAGTAATGTGATGAATGACGTGCTTTTGTAATACATAATACATTTCTGCAGCGTCTCTTCTAGAAAAACACAATAGACATAATTACAATAATAGAGACTTCTATATGTGAAATCTAGATTATATATAAACATCATCTTAAAACAAATATATTTCAATATTGAATTTACTAATACATTATGAATGTATATAATAGAGACTTTTCATCGCTCAGGCTGGATGTAAAATATTTCCATAAATATATGGTTTCCCTTAATGCAATTACTCGACACTATTCAAAATCGACGAAACATTGATAGAATATAGAACTTTAGATTCTCAATATAGCGTCTTGCGCTTAGAAATACATAATTTATGAGAGGATCCGTATATTCTATAAATTGATCTAATTGTGATAATCCATGCTACAGGCTCGCAACGTATCAATAATGTGTTAATTTATCCGCGTAATCAATTAGATTCACTTACACCTACACAGTCTGTCCCAAAAGTTTCCGAACTATCTGCGTACAGACGATATTAGAAGCCTCGAATTTTTTCTACAGTTTCATCCGTTCGACTGGTCGTCCGCTGTGCTCGTCGTCTTCCAGCGATTCTCTACCGTCCCTTTGTGAACCATTCATAAACTGCTTGTACATGGTAGTGCTTGATTCCCATAAGCCTTCCGTAACATTTCGAGTGTTTTTGTAAACGTTTTGCCCAATTTAACACAGAATTCGATGTTGGTTCTTTGCTCCATGGTGATTTCTCAACGTCTCAAAGAAATAATTTCACTTCTGCCCCTATGATAAATCAGCTGCTAGTAGGATCTCGATAAAACTTACCAGAATTTTTAACGAAGCTTCTATAAAGACGTGATCTTGATTAAATAGATAGCGCTGCTAATACCGTCTGTACGAAGAAAGTTCGGAAACTTTTGGGATAGATCATGTATTGTGTATATTCCACCGAGTTAATTTACGCATATAATAAACATAATATTTTACTTGGGTATTTGTTTCATAAATTAATTTCGAAGGTAATATATCGTTTAACTTGCACATTATATATAATGTTCAACGTATAGAGTGTAATATTTTATACTTTTACTAGTACACGCTTACATTATTCTCATTATTTTACAGAGATTTATTTTAATATAACTGAGGTAAATTAGGTACGATGTTACTTGTTGTAATACTGGACAGTTTTTTTTTTCATCGTAAAATTACTACCCGTATATTCATTTTCTTCGCCAAGGTCACCACTTATCTCCGTCTCCACTTATTCTTCTAAGATCTATCTTAATCCCTATCTCCCGTCCGTCGAATATACATTTTTGCCAACAATCTGGTAAATAATCAATATAGATATTCATCATAGAAATATTGCAAAATTCACTAATTTCATATTTTTTAAGTATAAAACCCAAATAATAATGAAAAGGACAGAATCAAAGAACGACAATTTTTTTGAACAGAATATCTATTTAAAAAATTATTCTTGTTATTTTTGTAATAATAATAATTAAAAATAATTAATATATTTTAATTGATAAATTATCGTTATATTAAAAAAATAATCATAACTTTGTCTCTCTATTTAAATCAAAAAGTTACATAATTTTTTCCGAAAGTATGCGTTCTGGCATCACTGTGCGACGTGTCGGGATCGTTCGTACGCAAACCAGGCGCAACAACCGGCGGCGGTTCGTGATGTACGGCAGGAAAGAAAAAGAAACGAGAGAGAAGGAAACTCGTCGCACGGACACCGTCCGTGCGAACATTCGCCGACCGAGAAACTGGATTCTCCGCTGCGAAATGATCCCGCTCTCGGATGCTGCGCATGGCAAAGTAATTCAATTTCATCGACGGACGCATCTCTTGCCGTAGACTGTACACGTTTGGGCAACACATTGTGATTACAATTTGTCCGTTTGCTATGCATAGAGCGGCCTCGAATGCACGACGTGCACCGTACCTTACGTCCTTCTTCATTCGAGTTCCTCTCTCCCTTCGTCCGCTCTCCCCTCATTCTCTTCTCGCACCTTTCGCGAGGAAGATGCAGAAAATCGAAGAGCAGAATACGAACATGCACAGGAAAGTATGTATATCTCGCGATCTTTGTCGCCACATTGATCGTATGCTATGTATTTTCATATATAAATATAAAATAATACATCTCCATTTTATTTACGATTAATCGTTCGATTCTCGTTGCAGCACAAAACTAAATGCATTTCAGCATATTTTTTATTATTACGTGAATCTCGAGAAATGTATTGGAAAGAATTCAGTACGCCCTATTCTTTAAAGGGCTATCTTACGTATAGTTAGATTTATATTCACAATCAAAACAACGGAGACAA